AAATAAAAAAAAAAAAAAAAAAAAAAAAAAAAGAAGCTAAAAGGTATGTTAGTCCTGTGTTATGCAAACACTTTTTTATAATTTAATATCAAATTTAATTTATATAATTTTTTATCCCATAACTATTTTAGGGTATTTCAAAGTGAACAAGTAAATAAAAACAATGCCATTTAAGTTTTCCCTGAAAATCATTCTGGGATCAGAAATGTGGACAGAGCAATCAGATAATATAAAAATAGCACAGGCTTTGGAAATAGGGAGACCTGGGTTAAAATTCTGCACCTGCCACTTATGGGTAGGTAAGGACAAATTACTTAACTTCTACGAACTTCAGTGTCATTTTCATACAATGGTAATAATTTATGATTGTTATGAGGATCAGTGACAATTTATACAAAGTGCACATAACACAGTGTCTGATACACAGGTCAATATCAGTACATTACTCATTATTATTATAAGAGGGAAAAATGTTATTAATCTAAAATGTGTTGGCAATGCATCCCTACCACCCTAACATATGAACTGCTTGAGTTCTATTAATGTGTAATGTATTCCTTAGAAATATTAATAGGTCAGTGGCCTTACACACCATAATATACATTATGTAGATATTATTTATAGCTTACATAAGGGTGGAAAAAGTAGGTTTGAACAAAGAAAATCAGGGGATGTAAGAACTTATGTCTCACATAGACTGATTAAATCTGAACTAAAAAATGATAGTTTAGTGAACAGAATCTATGGCTATTCAAATAGTGACCAAACAACTTAAATGACAGTTAGAGATGCTGCTGGCCTGCCTGCATTAGGGTCTTTCTGGCCTGCACTCGCTGGGACTAAGGCCCAGAAGGGGCATTCTTCTGAATGGATTTCCAGGTTTGGGGAGATGTGGTGGTGAACGCCACAGGATCTCTGTAGGGCTCTGATCTCCTTCTCTTACTTCACAGAGCGCAGGTCGTAGACCTCACCTGGGTAGAGCAAACGCCATGTCTACCTGCACCTGTCACTGGGTGTCCAGGGAAAGACAATCCTACCTCTGTAAGGCATTCCGGGAGAGCCATTGAGGCAGATAAAGACAGACTCAGGGACACAGTTACTGGGACAAATGAAGGGAAATGGCAACTTGAGCCAATATACAAATGTGTTTAATAGCAATATCTAGAGTAAGAGTAGGAAGGACACAAACCTCTTTCTGAATTATTGAAGGAAATAAATGTGTATGTGTTTGGGTAGAATGAGACTGGCAGAGGGTGAAAAGGAAAACGCTTATTAAAGGACTTAAAAAATTTTTCTTCCATTCATTTTTAGTTTTTTAGCCATTTTTATGTCAATGTATTTGCATGTCATCACCAGCTACCTAGAAATTGGTTACAACAACTCTTGTTAATAGTTTAAAATCTTTTTATTTGCAGCTTTCAATATATTTATATTGAGTTAAATCTGGCAACACGCGCAGCTGAATGCCAAAAGCCCTCCGAAAAACTGTGTCTGTATGTGTGTGTTTATGTGTGGTGTATAATTATATACATGTTTATATAAATAACTTTTAGAGGTGTTTGCAAATCTATCACCTCCTCTGATCCCCATAACACCCTCCCACGATATGTAAGTCAGGTATTATTATTTCTGTTTATAGATGGGGAAACTGAGTTAGAGGGATGAAATGAACTGCTAGAGTAAAACAGAGAGAGTTTAGCCACAGAGCCTGGAGTGAACCCAGTTCTCCTTATTCCAAATCCAATATTTTGTTTCTATTTAACTATGACTCTGGTCTTAAAAATGCTCTAAAATGCCACAGGCTAAAAGCATTCAGTTTCACTTTCAAAGTACTTGTTGTTCTTTGAAAGTATAAATCTTCCTAAACACAAACATTTTTTTTTCCCCTTAAAGAGAATGTGAATATAACTTCCTTTAAAAAAAAAAAAAATTCAGTTTAATACAGTATGTGCTTTTATGGCCCATATGTGAGTGTGGTGAAATTCTGATAGGTCCATTAAAAAGTGCCGGCATCAAATTTCAGTATTTGGACAGCTGACTATAAGCCTTAAAAGTTGACATTTGTACTGGAAAGAATGACAGAGCACAAAACCTATAAATGGCAGTGATGGTGGGGACAGAAATAATTTTTCAAGTACTTCAGAAGTGACACTAGGGTGCAGCATTGTTCCTTTTCTCTATGCCAAAGTAATAACTGTATTCAGAGGAAACAGCACATAATTTCAGTGAAACAATGCCAGAAACCAAGAAGAAAAATCTAAAGGCCCAAAACATGTAGGGCTTTATGGGCTTCTTTCTGCTGGCAACCTAGGATCTCAGGCCTTTGCTGAAAGTGGAACTGGCTTTCCCTCAGAAGCAAGTCAAGCATGCTCATCAAAGGTTCCTTCTGGCCCACCTCGCTGGCTTCGTATACTCAGGGGCACCAACAATGTTAACAAGATTGCAGACGCCAGTGCTGGAGGTGGACCAGACGCCCAGGTGGCGTCCGTAAGGGAAAGCAGGTGAAGGACTTCACTGCCTGGCAAGCCGCTTTCCTTTCCACAGAGGGTCACTGGTGTATGTCTGACTTTCCCAGTTCCCTCTTCAAGATCACATACACACAAAGCATATTCAACAGTGATGGAGAAGAGGAGATGGAGTTCATCACTGAATGACAAAGAACTTGACATTCAGAAGCCAGTTCTACCCTGAACCCACCCATCGTACAGAGTGGTCAGTAGCAGCAGCAGAAGCAGCAGTTGTGGCAGTTGCCTTGGACCCAGGCAGACCTTAAAGCCACCGGGTTCTGACTTAGCGTGGCACTGGCACGAACAGATGTCTATCAGAGCTGCTTTCAGTCACCCAAAGAACAAAGTCAGGTTCCAGTCGTGTTCCAACTGTTTTAAGCAGTCATGCTTGAGTAGATGGGATTAAAACAGAATTCTTTTCTTTAAGGGTACTTCTCCCCAGTTTTATAGACTAAAAATATAAAAAATCACCGGGATTCCTATAAAATGTCACAGACCAATGATCAGGGGTATTTTGGGTTGTACAACTCCCACTTTCTTCCTATTCCACCCCAATTCTGATGGGACTTGGTAAATGTATAAATCCCCAAAGGATGCCATACTGCATGCTTTGTGAGAAGAAAAGCTCCCTTTTTACATTCTAGAAACATGAAAGCATCCATATCTTCACATGCACACATGCAGACACAAATGGAAACCTGCAAATCAGTGAGGAGCTATGTAACAGACACCTGGAGCCAAAGAACTGGAGCACAAGAAAGGAACTTAAAGAAAATTTAAGCCCCAACTTTCATTTCTCAGGTAAAGAAGTTGAGGAACAAAATGCTTAAACAATTAATAATGAATTATAACAATAGCTAACATTTAAAAATCATTGACTATGTACCAGGCCCTGTATAAAATCTTTTTAGGGTATGTTAAATGACTTACTCAAGACTGCATAGTTATTTAGCTAAAGACATAGGATTAGAACCTAGGATTCTCGTTTTGTATTTCAGTGCTTCAGAGAAAAATGGATTGTTTAGTATACCATTCTTTGTCCAGAAAAACAATACAAAACCAACCTGGATGACTAAAGGATACTCAATGGGGACAGGAAGCCCAGTGGGCAAGGATGGGTTACCAGGCCACCAAGCACCCCACCTCTGATGGTGGAGGCATCTGAAATGACCTCAGGCAGACAACACATTTGAACTAAAGAACAGAGCTCAGCCAAGCAAAAGCAAAAGGAGCAGCGCAAAGATCCATACGAGCAACATACAGGCCTTCAGAGCAGAGCAGTCAGGCCACCTTTCATGATGGGCTCTGCATAAAACAGCACGTTTACCATGTCCCCACTCACCACACAAACAGTAACATTGTCTGCAGCAGCAGCTTGGGTAGGAAAGACGAGATAAACGCATTATATGAACGTCAGAGGAAAGTCACTGTAAATGTTTTAACGCTACAGGCACTGATGTAAAATTACAGTTATTACTTACTCCAAGATCTTTCCTAGTTGATCCACATCTGAACTTCCACGAAAAAGAGGCCTAAAAGAATAAAGATACAGATTAAACAACCAATTTTCTCAGGTTACATTTCAATCATCCTTGTCATTATCACTGTTTAACAGAAAACAAAATATTCTCTAAGGGTGGGAAAGAAGTAAGGGATCGAGACATCTTCCCTTTGGTAAATGAAAGCTATTCTTGGATGTCATTTAGGGCAAGGACCTCTCACCGATAACTGGCGGCATCTGATGCCCATGTTTTATAATCATGACTATCCCCTATTCATGGTCATTGTAACAGTAGTGCCAACATCACATACAGGCACTGGCTTCAAAGTTCTACTTAACTTTGTGACAGATGGAACACATCACTGTCCTGGTCTCAAACCAGAGGTGTGTGGGGTTCTTTCCAACTGGTTTTAGCCAGATCCTTCTCAGAGCACCCTTTCCTCACCACTAGGCGACCCTAGTACTTCCTCTTGAGTCTCTCTCCTTCCACTTGTCCTGAATGCTGGAGTGAGCTACCTCTGGGTCTATTTCTCTGATTTTACCACTTCTCTTCCTCCCAGTATTATGGAATATAAGCATTCAAGGTCAAAGCCCTAACTCTGGACTTGGGAGGCATTTGTGAACACACCACCCCCATTGCCTACCCTGAATATTTAACTGGCATTTAGTTCAGCTCACTTGGTCACACCTCTGGCATATTTCCCCCAGTAGATCAATATCCTTTGAGAGCAGGGACTTCTCTAGGTTTGCCCTTAACCTTTGGCCTAGTGCTTTACCTAAGGTAAACAGGTGCTGGGTTAAAAAATATTTTATATGCACCTATGGTACACATGTAAACGTTCCCTCTTTGCTCAATGAGTGACATAAACAAGTATTTTTCAGCAATAATGTGTTTAAAAAATATCTGTAGCCTATTAACAAAGCTCATATTTTAAAAATATTATATTTCAGTTTATAAATCTTTAAACCTGACCTCTTAAATATTTTGTATGCCCAGTAAATAAACTCACTATATAGGTCATCTATAAAGAATCCTGCAAAGTCATAGCATTTCAGGTAGAAGGCACCTTAAAATTCTTCAACCACACTTTCTATTTATTATTATTCCCAAAATGGTTATTTTCAAATGCAGTGGAAAATGGATTTGTGGAAATGTTATAGGCTGAATTGTGTTCTCCCCCAATTCATATATGGAAGCCCACACCTAGTACCTCAGAATGTGACTGTATTTGAAGATAGGGCCTTTAAAGAGTCAAAAAGAGGCTGTTGGGGTGGACCCTAATCCAATCTTTCTGGTGTCCTCATAAGAAGAGGAAATTTGGAGACACAAGGAGACAACAGGGGCATGTGTGCACACACAGAAATAACCATGTGAGGACACTTCAGGAAGGCAAGTCAAGGAGAGAAGCCTTAGAAGAAACCAAACCTGCTGACACCTTGTCATGAACTTCCAGCCTCCAAAATTGTGAGAATACATTTCTGTTGCTGAAGCACCTAGTCTGTGGTGTTTTGTTATGGCAGCCCCAGCAAACTCATACAGGCAACTTGCACGTCACTAATGCAGCCACATTCATAAAGAATTATGGGGTTGGGTTCCAAAAGACATCCAGACAGGTCTTAAAGACATTAAGGTAAGAAGCGTAAGTTTTAGAAAAGCCACACAATGGGATCTTAACAGCTATTATTCATAGAGCACTAATGTATGTGGCATAGTGCCACGTGCTCCCCAGACGTGCTCTCACTTAATTCTCACAGTACCTCCCGGAGCACACAGTATTATTATCATCGTCCCTATTTTTAGGTGAGGAAACAGACATTTCATGACTTACCCTAAGGACACATAACAAATTGCAGCCTTAAAATTCAACCCAAGTCTGCCTAGCCCCGAAGCCTGAATGCTTTCATGATTGTGCTGTGATGCTTTCATTTCGGTTACTATGTTCTCTGCGTCAGTCAGTCATGGCAGCTAAGCTTCAGGGTGGGGTGGGGTGGGGGTGAGACAGTCTAGGGACAGCGTGAAGAGCACTTTATGGAGAGAACCTGGGTCTCACAGCAGATGCCTGGGAGATTCTGTACTCAGATGGCTTTGCATGTGTCTAAGTGCCTTTACAGTCTTGCTCTGTTTTAACAAGGAACAAAGCAATTCACCAGAATGACTGAGGCTCTCTATCCTCTCCAGAAACTGACTGATGACCCTTCTAGATTTTTAAAAAATTGGTTTAATGTCATTACTGATTTCAGAGAGAGGAAGGGAGAGGGAGTGAGAGAGAGAGAAACATCAACGATGAGGGTCATTGATTGGCTGCCTCCTGCACGCCCCTGACTGGGGATCGAGCCTGCAACCCGGGCATGTGCCCTGACCGGGAATTGAACCATGACCTCCAGGTTCATGGGTGGATGCTCAACCACTGAGCCACACCAGCCAGGCCAGAGAATATCGGTTTAATCTGATGAGCTGGTAAAGCAGTTGTGTCAATATGTCAAGCCCTCCCCTTCCCCCCGCCCCACTCTTTGGGAAGACTGGCATCCACAGAAGCATGGGTGAAATTACCTTTGAGTATCATGGTTTATTTTATTTTATTTTTTACTTCTCACCTGAGGATATTTTTCCATTGCTTTTCAGAGAGAGTGGAAGGGAGAAAGAGAGATGTCGATTGGTTGCCTCCCACATGCACCCCGACCCAGGGACAGGGATCGAGCCTGCAACCGAGGCATGTGGCCTTGGTAGGAATCGAGCCCAGGACCCTTCAGTCCATAGGTCGACGCTCTAACCACTGAGCAACTGGCTAGGGCTTATGGAGTAGTTTAAAATAAATATGTTGGCCATGGCTATCAGGAAGCAAACCAGGCAGACTAACTTGAATGGGTGTTGTTCCCGGGCAAAGGCACAAGACCATCTCTTTCCTGGGTGGGCACTGAAACCCAAGCCTGAAGCTCAGCAGCAGCAGTGGCTCATGCCCTTACTGTTTTGGTTTTCAGCTCCCTTTTCTGTTTTTGTCTCTTGGCAATATTTCTAACTTTTTTGCTGGTTCCATTATGCATTTAAGCAAATAGTCGCTACCTTCTTTTACATCTACTAGATGTTTTAGCATAGGACTTTGAAATCATGTAATCAGTCCACCATCCTGCCAGAGCCAGAGGTGCTTGTCATCCTTGAGTGAGGGCTGGCTCAGCAGTTTGGCCTCTTTTAATAAAGAGTGTGGCAACTAAAGGTGTGAATCATAATCACTCTTCTGTGACTACTCCGCAAAACCTGCAAGGGAATACAAGAAACCTGGAGGCAGCAATTCAGTGTACAGATCAGACGACTTTTGCCACCTTAGGAAGACCTGGTGTGCAACTCTGAGGTCTGTTAACTTGGCTTTGCAGCAGATGTGGGTTGGCTTCAATTACACAAAACCAGTGAACTCTGACTGTAATTAACTCCTAAAAAATGGATCTTTGGATGTAAATACATAGTCAAAGACAATGGAAATGGAGCACATAAAGGAGTGAAGAGGCCAAATCGGAACTAGGACTCTCAGCTGACCAAGTGGTTGGACACAAATGTGATCAAACTCTAAGAACCACCTATTGATTTCCTGGCTGAAAATTCTGAGTATTTTGCATGAGCCAGTTTTATTACCGAGGATCAGGAGCATGGAAGGGTACAATGGACTCAGAGGAAGGATGAAAACTTTCAACATGATGGACTCTTGGGTGTGCCATGGTGGAGTATGAAGATATAAGAATAAGACTGCTCTAGGGACCCTGTATGATACAATCTGTTTTGAAATAGGCTCTATGAGAAAAAGTCTTGCTGTATAAGGTCTCTGAGCACCATGTAATGAAGAAACACACAGGGCTGTACTTTCATTGAGATTATTTTGAAGATTTCTTCCTTAGATTAGCTGAGTTAAATATCCTTTAATTCATATAATTTATGGCATACTGCAGGTGAACAAATATGAACATAATCTTTGATTATATTCTTTGGGTTGGTGCGGTGAGGGACAGTTTAATTCTGCTGCCCTGAATAATTTTATAATTACAAGAATGATTCAGCTAAAACACACACATGCATGAGTCGGCCTTGGCTGGCTCTTTATTAGCATGACATAGAGCTGAGCTGGAAGGAAGTAGAGGGTTGAAGGAGCAAAGTGGGGGGAATAAAAGACACTGAAAGACAGACTGAGAGAGAGATGGCCAGATAGACAAGCTGAAGAGGCCCAAAATAGCTTTGAACTGTTTCTTCCCACTGTCTAAAAACGTTCCCCTCCTGGAAATCTTTAAAGAGGCCTTGCATGAAGACTGAAGACGGGAGAGGAATGTTCAATTACATACCACGAGACAGAGGCTCATAAAAGATAAAAAGCCATGCATTTTTTCCGAATCACTGCAGGGAGAGAATCCACCAAGCTATCCCATCTTGTCTGTTTTTAGACACAAACCTCCTTACAGGTGACACACTTACTAATTCTTTTAAACAAGTTATTTAAAGATAAAATTAGCAATAGAGATATTCTACTGAGAGTAGTAAATCTGAAGCCTATTTTTATAGTTTTAAAAATATTTCTTCCTTAAATACACACTTTTTTGGGGGGGGTTAAGGGGGTTATTAAGTAATAAAATGAAAAATTACACCTACCAAAAACATTCCCAAATAAAGACTATGCAATTGCTTTGACTGGACAAACACATTTAAAAAATCCTTTTATTATACAGGACAATATTTAAAGCCAGTAACTTTTGTGAATTTTGCTATATCAAAAACTACAATTACTTACTTTTAGATGACTCTCTAGTAGTTTAACCAAGTGCTTGGGTACACAAACGATATCTGCTAAAGACCTTAGTTGGATCTAAATTTCATGAATCCCATTTCTAACTTTATACCTACATTTCTTTTCTCTTTACTTCACTTATGATCCTCCTTTTTCTTTGGAAGATTTTCTCCGCACTCACCTCCTGAGACTGTTACATTCTATTGCATAACCCTCCTTTTGTCTTTCATGGCCCTGAGCCTCTTTCTATTTGGAATTTCCACATAAA